TGAACGCAGGCAGCGGTGTTTTGGTCATCAAGTTCATGGAACTAAAATCTGACACTGAAACTCCGAACACCGCTGGACTTCCATCATCTACTGTGTTCCGTTCTGTAGATCCTAGAAGAACACTGTTCGGTGGAATCGTTCATCTAAATGAGGGGAACAAGCTCCATGGTTCAAATAGAGACTACGTTCGGTATTTTATTCGTTTTTTTATGTTGCCGAAGTTGACCGGCCGCTATCACTGATTTCATGGAACTATTTTGGGCATAGGACAATGTACACGGCCAGTCAAATAATTGACTTCCATGGAAAAGTCCAACCCCTGAACCGATCTGGGTCATTTTTGAAATGTTGGTCACCCACATCAGGGCTATCAGGGGATGTAAACTTTGGGGTTTTTCGTTGGTTTTGAAGGTGCTTTTGGGGTGTTTGTGAATTGTATGGTTTTCTGTACCTGGAGATAATTGAGTTTGTACAGTTCCTGACTCAATTATCTCCCAGGCACAGGGGAGGGTTTATCCTGTTTTTGTGGGAGTGTCATGGGCATGTTTGACTGTGTCCATAAATGTAAATAAGCAGGCAATCTTGCCAGATTAAAGCACTCCAGTTTGTACTCCCAGAACTATGTGTTGTCTGGTTACTGGGAGGGGAAAGGGCTAATCACTACTCCAGCTTGTTCCAGTGTGGAGGATTCAATGGGGAAAGTCCTTGTAAGGACTCGAGCTGCCAGGACTGAGTGTCATCCAGTGCCTGGGAGTGGATAGAGTGAGTTCCCCATTCGGCTACAGGACGGAGTGGTTCCAGGAGCCCAGCCAAGTCACGGTGACTGGGGGCAGGAGTGCTGAGGTTTGTTCCCTGTTCCAGCTAGGAAGCGGTCTTAGGTGGAGGTACCCAGTCGGGCACAGGGAGCTCCGTTACAGATGTGAGAAAGGCTGAACTTGAGGAACACAAGTCTCCCTTCAGCCTATGTAACTATGTAATTTTATCACTGTAGAGCTCTGCTATACAGTGCACACCAACAATATGGAGCTCTTAGAAAAGAGGGATATTAGTATAGAAGAGAGGGACAAGGATTTGGGCCCAAAATAGGTACTGCCCTTCCTAAATAGAGACATTTTGGAGGTATGAAATTCATGCTCAGCACAACTGTAAATCACAGTGGGGGAAGAGGAAGGGGCATGTAGTTGTAGGAAGTGTGTAACAGTAATTTTCCAAGCTTACCATGGGGTAACTGTATATTTCTCCTCTGTGCAGTCTCCAGCAGCATTCCCATACCACCCTTATTCCTACAAAGCTCTGATTCGCTGCAGACTACAAAGGCATAGGATGGTTAACCCTAGTCTGCAGTTCACCCAGAGCTCAGTCAGGAGAAGAGAAGGAGTCATCCGCAGGATAGACAGATTTGCGAGTAGTATAGGCCTACCCAGTGGTGTAGCCTGGTTTCCTTCCTTCCTTCCCCCCTGCTCCGCCTTCTACACACACAGAAACACACACTCGCTAACAGACACACACACACTCACTAACAGACACACTCTCACTAATAGACACACACTTTTTTTTTTATTTAACCCCCCAGCCTCCTTACCTTTGGGAATGCTTGGAGGGTGGGGGGGGGGTTCTCCCTCTCCCTGGGGTCCAGTTGGGCTGCTGGGTTGTCGGTCGGCACTGGCGAGGGAGCACTTTCCCCTGAGCTCTTCCTGCTCAGCTCTCTCGCATGCCACAGAGTGATGCCGGGAGCCAGAATATATGCCAAAAGGGGCGAACATGCCCAAAAAGGGGGCATGTCTGTCCATAGAATTGGAATACCAGCCTGGCATCAGTGTACCTATGTATCACAGTGTCCGTGTCCCCATGTCTCCCAGTCCCGTAGTCTCCCAGTGTCTCAGTGTCCTCATTTCTCCCCGTGTCCCCATGTCTGTGTTTCCCGTGTCACTAGGATATTAGGGGACACTGAGAGGCATAGGGACACAGAGAGACCTGGGGACACTAAGACACTTGGGGACATGGGGGCACTGAGACACCTGGGGTCACTGGGAGACAGACATGGGGACATTTGGGGACACTGGGAGACATTTGGGGACACAGACACTAGGGACACTGAGACATGGGGACTGGGAGATATAGAGACACTGGGGACAATGGCTGCGAGGCATGGGGACACTGGAAGACATCACTTGTGGACATAGACATGGGGACACTGGGAGACATGGTGACACTGGCTGGGAGACATGTGGACACTGGGAGACATGGGGACACAGATATTTGGGGACACTGGTAGCCATGGGGACACTGAGACACTAAGGACACTGGCTGGGAGACATGGAGACACTGTATCCCCAGTGTCTCCGTGTCCCAACGTGTCTCCCAATGTCTCACAGCGTCCCCATGTGTCTCAGCATCCCTATGTCTCACAGTGTCCCCTAGTGTCTCAGTGTCCCCAAGTGTATAAGTGTCCCCTAGTGTCTGTGTCTCCACGTCTCCCAGTGTTCCCTTGTGTCTCAGTGTCCCCTAGTGTCTCAGTGTCCCCATGTTTCCCTGCTGCCTTTCCCCCCATCCTTCACTTACCTGAGCTGTAGTCTGTCTCTGCAGGCTGGGAGCTGCTGTCTGAACTCTCTGTGCTGTGTAGCTGCTCCCCCGCGGATCAGTGAGTAGAGAGCGGTAGGGATATGCTGTAATTTTCTATCCCTGCCTCTCTCCATACACAGTGACCCCTACTGGCCGGTGCTGGTATTGCAGAGTAATTCCAAGATTTTACTATTAACATGACTTAAAGTCATGATTTTATCAATGACACGGAGGCGAGTATTATGCTTCTCTTTCTTTAATTCTCCCTCAGCAGCGGAGAGATGTATACAAAAAGAGAAAAAACAATATAACATTTGCATATTCACAGTGCTACCAATAGTATCCTCCCCCTTAGTATATAAGGTGTAGCACTCCATCCTTCTTCCTCTTTCCGTAGCGATCCGAAGACCAGTCCAATAACCAAAACGATAAACTAGAACCGAAACTGGAAAATCGGGTAGTAGTCAAACATCCATTCATTATGGGCGAACTGTAGAACTGTCCTTCAAAACTTCAACACCTCGATAGAAATATTCAGGCTAAAACGAGAGGAGAAATATGGTAATATCTTGGACCTCCCACAGTACACAAACCAAATAGCCAATCATAAGGTACAGTTACACTTAAACACTCCCTGTCTCCGCCTGTGAGATAATGAGATAAGTTAAGGAATGAACCAATTATCCCCAGGCGTAGTGCACACATTTTCCCCAAAACCCAGAACACCCCTTTATGCTTAAGGTATCCCCACAAAAAAATGTCACATGCCCTGGAAGCCCCGATCTGGGGGAACAACATATTCAAATTTCACCCAGATCGGTTCAGGGGTTTTTAAAAAGTGTGGAAGTCTTAAGTTACCGACCGAATTCTGAAAATGTCAAATAACTCTATAATCCACGAACGGAGCGATTGTTCCCCTCATACGAATACATCAAAGTACCGAAAAGCGCTCTCCTACCTGTTTGGGAAATACAGTTCCATTGTTCGGATGTTTGAGACCAGTGTTCGGGAAGTCGAGTGTCCGATTTTAGTTCCAGACACTCGACGACCAAGTCCTGCTGTCTTTGTCCGGAACAAACAAGATGGTCGCCGTTTTCTCCGCCACGTAGCATTCGTATATCCGAATGGCGGCCACCCTGAGAGAGTGCTTAATTGACGGGCTCCTCTGAAGTCAATGAGCCAGGAGGGTGGTCGGTGTTCGGTAGTTTCAATCTACTGAACCAATGTGGCATATAATAAACGAATAAACCAAACAGACGAATGCTCAGAGAAAACTCCCGGTAGGTTTTCTCACAGCTGCGCTATAACTCTTTCCGAGAAGTGTTGGATTGGTTTAAAATAAAGATTCTGGACTGTAGATTCCGTAGACCAATCTGCGGCCTTCAAGATGTCCTCCAATCGACATCCTATCGTTGATGCCTTAGAGGCCATGGCGCCCCTGACAGAATGGGATGAGAAAACCGTGACATCTATCCCGGCTGAAGCTAATAACCACTTGACCCAATGAGCGAGTGTAGGTACAGGAAGATGTGGTTTCTTCAGCGAGATGAACAAAGGTCCATCTTTGATAGCCGTAGAGTAGAAGTGAACACACGTGCCTGCCAATCCAAAGCCCTCACGTCGGACACTCGCTTACAAGATAGCAGACAAAACAGCATAAGCAATTTTGCAATTGTTTTAATGACAATTCCGCATTAGCTTTAACATCGCGTTAACATCCCAAAAGGATCCATATCTAGGTTTAGGTGGGTGTGAGAAACGAACACCCTTGAGCAGGCAACAGAGAAAGGGATTCTGTCCGAGCGGCAGTCCGTCCACGATATCATGACCTTCTGAGATGGCTGATCGGTACATGTTGATGGTGCGGAAGGCCTTGCCTGATTCGAATAGGTGTGTAAGGAAATCCATCACCGTTTTTACAGAGGTTGATACGGGATCCACCGGTCTTTCCAAGCACCAACTGGACCATGTTCTCCATGCCGTGGTATAGGAACGCTGCGTTCCCGTCGCCCAAGCGTTTACCAGTAGTTTGGTAGTTGTTCTCGAAACCTCTGTGATTTCCCAGGGTCCCCGGAAAGGAGCCATCCCATGAGACGAAGAAGTTCGATCAGGTTGTGGTTCTCCCCATCCGGATTGGTTAGCAGAGAGGGATGATCCGGTAGCAACCGTGGGTAATTGATTGCCATTTCCAGTAAGTGGGGGAACCAAGGTTGCGACCTCCAGCAAGGGGTTATCAGTACCATCATGCTCCTGTAGCGTCGGAGGTACGCTAGAGTCCGAGCAATCAGGTTGAGCGGAGGGAAGGCATATGCTCGGCCCTTGGTCCAATCCTGGAGGAACGCATCTGTCGCCATGGCTTCCGGGTCTGGTCGTCAGCTGAAAAACTGAGGAAGCTGTGTGTTCAGTCTGGATGCAAAAAGATCCACACTCAAAGGTCCCCATAACTGAGCGATCCTGCAGAATACCTTTGGTTGAAGTCTCCAATACCCCAAGTCCCTCAGGTATCGGGAGTTCCAGTACGCGGTGGAATTGTCCAATCCCGGTATGTGTTCCGCGGTAACCGACATGTTGTTCTGCAAACAATAATGTAACGGATCGCCTGGCACCCCGACTGGGTACCTCCGTTGAAGGATGCTCCTAGCGCTTCCTGAGGACTCCAAGCACTCTGGCAGACACCACAATCACCGAACCGGAGAAACAAATAAATTCTCCCAAGCATATGAATGCTGTAGACAGTTGAATAGGAAACCATACGAATAGGTTTACCCTCCTAGCAGTCAAACTGGAACAGCATACAATAAATCCTTCCCCCAATAATGAGACGACACTTCACTTTGAGGGTTAAACAGGAACTCTTGTGCTGGCACACCCAGCCTGGTTTTTATTACAGTCTTTCACATACAGGACCGCCCACAGGGAGGTATAAAACAACCAATCACATATCAGTTACATCCCACATATTCCCTCCCCTTATCCTGAGAGGAAACTAAATTACACATACAGTTAAAACATACTTTCTACCCAACTTTCATAACTTTAAAACCATACATCACATTCACATAAAATTACATATTCACAATCAATCCATTCAGGGGAACAACATATTAAAAAATGGCATGAATCCGACCAGGGGTTCAAAAGTTAGTAAAAGTATCTTTTGGGCCCTGGCTGGCACATGGATATCTGGCTCAAACAGGTTTTACAGAGCCCTCTATCCTGGAGACAATGGGGAAAGTAATCCAATTATCCAGGGATAGAGGCAGACTCCATTGAGCACATGGTTGCAAAAAGACATAAAACACTTTAAAATACATAAAGTCACCTTTTACACATAACACACAGACATTTCACATATCCCCAGATAGCTGGGATCTGAGCGCACAAAACTACAGAAGAGCGCTCAGATCCTATTCACACAGTTCAATTGCGATGGAGCCGAAGTCTTTAACTACACGAATGGGCTCCATGGCATAGCTATCTGGGTTAACACATTCACATAAAGTCTGGTCCATAGTCCAAAGGGAAGAGGCGGGCAAGCAGCCCACTCCAAGGACACGTGGCGAGGCCTGTTTCAAGATATATAGAATTTCTCACACACTCATAAGTAGTGTTCACATGCAGTGCTGTGTGAATTACAATTCAACAAGTGATTGTGATAGAAAGTGAAATAACTTCCCTTAGCAATATAGGATATGCCCGAAGATTTCCTCCTATCTTCAATTCAACATGCATATGATATAGGGCTATTCCAAGCTAGAGAAACAGAAAATATATGGCATAGTGCAATACTGTATATACTGTGATTGGGTATATGAGTAAGTGACAAATGCTCACTCACACTTTAACATCCCAAGAAATGCTTTCAGAAATATGCTGTGTCTTCTTTTGCTTCAGATACTTGGTAAATGTGGATCTCACATAAAAAACAAAGTGCAAAAAAATGATTGAATGACTGTTTGAGTAAAGAGTAAAAAAAGCATTTATTACTTACATCAAAGTAAATAAAAGCAGGTAAATCAGTCCAACGCGTTTCTTCCCTGTTAGGGACTTCCTCAGGGACAATCTTTCACAAGGATGATGAATAAAAATACATATAAACCTAGTTACAAGCATCTCCCAATATATACCACCCCCAATCAGTCCCAATAGTGGTTCTGCAGGTGATTCCATTTCTCTTCAGCTGTTTTCAATTCAAATTTGAGTTACTTCCGGGTTTCGTGTATCCTGTGCGGTCATGTGATGTGCGTGATGACGTCATGCGTTCCAGCTATGCGTTCCACCTTCGTTTTGGCTGGCACTCATAATTACAAACTGAGATGTTGAAAAAAGTCCCAAAAAAGACTGTTTCTAAGTAGAAATACAAGTGGGGGGAGTGTACAAAAGGGAATTGCAAAGAGGTTAAAAAGATGTTGCTGGTTTAAAGGTTTTTTGAATAATCTTTATTTATAAGAAACAAGTTAAAGAGATATTACTAACTTGAAAGTTTCAAAACAAACTTTATTTATAAAAGACAAAACAGACACACTAGTAACCTGTGTTTCTTACATTAATACATTTATATGTCAGTGTGCATGAATGCTCAACTGCATACCACATAAGGCAACATGCACACTGCATAATATGATATGCACAAGCCAAGATGTTCTAAATAATGCCATAAATGCATTAAAGTGTTAATTCTGTAAAGAATAAATGTAAATGTATATAAAAAGAATAATAATAAAAAAATATATAATAATAAGACATGGTAGTTTATCTACCTTCAGCAGAAAATCTGTAATTTTAAAATTAAAGTATATCTAATACTACTGAGAGACCAAGTATTTGTAGTTCCTTTATATTCAATGGTAGGAAAAAATAGAATAGATTCTTGGCTTGTTCAATGCCAAAAAACATATAGAGGGATATATGACAATATACACCACCCATAGAGAGCAAAATAAAAATAAAAATAAAATTAAAAGAGAAGAGAGGAAAAAAGGGAATTACTCCAAAAAGCACCACAGATCTATGTCTGCATTTAATCCTCCTGGTTGGAGGGTTTTTAATATATTGATCCAATACGTTTCTCGCTGTGCTAGTCTTTTAATAAGGTTGCCACCCCTCCAATGGTTGTCAATTATTTCTAGACCTATGTAGTGGAAGTGTTTCCAACTAAAATTAAGACATGAATTACAATGCATGGGAACCGAATGTTTATCATATTTTTTTCTAATATTATTTTTATGTTCCAAAATTCGTTCTTTAAGTTTTCTACACGTGCGTCCCACGTATTGCTTTCCACAGGGGCAGTGTAGCAAATATATGACATTTTTACTATCACAGTTTATATTAGTCTTGATATTAAATTCTCTACCTGTAACTGTACTTTTAAACTTTGTTACTTTCAAAAGCCTCTGTGTCAAACAGGCTTTACAATGATTACATGAGCTAAAACCCTTTATTCCACTTTTCTTGTTTTCATGTTTATTTTTTAAGGCATAGCTAGGAGCCAATAAGCTTTTCAAATTTTTTGCTTTCCTAAAAATCATAGGTGGCTGTTTGGGTAATGTTTCTCCTAAAATTGGATCTTTAAGCAAGATGCCCCAGTGCTTATTCAGAATATTTCTAATCTTTCGATGTTGGGTATTATACTGGGTAATAAATGCATATTTAAAATTTTCCCCTTTATCTTTGACTTTTTTCTTCTTTTTAATTAGATCCTTTCTATCTAGTCTTCCTGTTTCCTTAATTTCCTTGTCTAGTACACTTCTTTCATATTTTTTGGACATAAGTTTATTGCATAAATGTTTAGCTTGTTCCTTATAATCATAATTATTGGTACAGTTTCTTTTAATTCGAATTAATTGGCTTTTAGGTATAGAATTTAGCCAATGTTCATGATGACAGCTCTTTTTATGAATAAAGCTATTACCTTCTGTCTCTTTAAAGTAACACTTTGATTGAACCTTATTATTTTTAATATAAAATGTAATGTCCAGAAAATTTATACTTCTGGTATCAAATGTATGTGTGAACTTTAAATTATAGTTATTGATGTTAATATAATTCAAGAATGTTTCTAGTTCACTCTGAGTTCCCTTCCAAATTAGGATAACGTCATCTATAAAACGCTTCCACAAATAATGCCAGAAGTCTCGAGCCAAGACCGCTAAGATAACTGATTTCGTCCCTCCCAGATGGTTTATGTACCTGACTGCCGAGACATTGTCCAACTTGAGAAGGATCGAGCAAGAAATGCCCCTGGGTGAGAGGCTGCGGATGGCAAACGAGGCTGCCAGTAGTTCCAGTGAATTTATGTGTAGGAACGATTTGTCTACTGACCATCTGCCTCCGGTGGATATGGAGCCACAACGCGCGCCCGATTCTATGACGAGATCCGGGGTGGAACTGAAGATTGCTCGTCTGTTCCACACCTCCATGTGGGTTAACCACCAGTTCAGATCTTCCCTGGATTCCTCGCCCAGGGTGACGTTGGTCTTGTATGATTGGCCGTTTCTGAGGCAGGACACTTTCAGTCGTTGTATTACCCGGTAGTGTAATGGTCCCGGGAAGATCACATATATGGAGGCCACCAGAAGTCCGATTACTCGTGCCAATTGTCTCAGATAAATGTCCGGACGGTTCATTAACCACCTTATTTCCCTTTTGATGTTGGACATCTTTTCTGCCGGGCGGCATAGGAATTGTCGGACGGAGTCAACTCGGAACTCCAAAAATTACATCTGCTGAGAGGGTTGCAGTACCGATTTCTCCCAGTTCACCAGGAAGCCGAGGTTCTGGAGGAGATGAAGGGTCCATGACAAGTGGACTGTATTCCCGAGATTATTAGGATATCGTCCAGATATATAATAAGACTGACCCCGTGTAACCTGAGAAAGGCAACCACTGGCTTCAGCACTTTTGTTAAGCACCAGGAAGCAGAGGACAGTCCGAAAGGAAGGCATGAGAAACGCCATTTCTTTGTCCCCCACCAGATTTGAAACAGATTCCTGTGGTCCGCCGCTATTGGGACCGTTAGATACGCGTCCTGTAAATCGAGTTTGACCATCCAGTCTCCCGGGAGGAGTAGGTCTCGGAGGCAGAGTATGCCCCCTATCTTGAAATGCCGGTATTGGACAAAGGCATTGAGGGGGCGCAGGTTGATAACAGGTTGCTCACAAAACCTTGTGTGTTTAGAGGGATTTCCTCTATAGCATTTTTGGCCTGCAGAGACCTGATCTCCCAGAAGATGAGATCATGGTGGGGTTTTGGTATGTGGAGCACCCGAGGCGGATAATCCTGAAAGGGAAGACCCATTAATTCTAGGTGATAACCCTCTATGGTCTGTAACACCCAACTGTCGGATGTGATCATGGGAGAACAAAGCCAACCTGCCCCCCACTTTTATATGGGAAAAATTGTACTCACCATAAGGGCGTTTTCCTGTGGATGTTCCTCTGCCGCCGCGGGCATTCCAAGGTCTTTCTCGAGAGGGGAAGAACGGAGTATAGGAATGCTCTTGGTTCTGTCTCTGAGTGTTGAAGGAGCCTCTGCCCAGTCTGGAGAAATCTCGGGAGTTGCGGCCGGATAGACGGCTCCAACCTCTACCGGCCCCACCGAAAACCTTTTGGTTGAAGACTCGTTTAATGGATGATTGGGCTTTGTCCAGAGCCGTGAAGA